GATTTTAATTAAATGAGATGATGTTGTTTAATATTGATACTTTATTTTTATTAGAGCCGTACTAATATATCATTCTCTATTTATATATACATATAAAATATTATAAGTTTTAATAAAATTGAAAGAGTCAACTATTATATAATAATAAAATTTTATAAAAAAATTATATTACCTAAAAAATTGACTCTAAATCATTTTGTATACATAAAGAAATGAACAAAAGTTTGAATTTTTATATTAAAAATTAAAAATTTAATTTTTGGATAAATAAGGATTGAGGAGAGAGAATAATAATATATAAGTAATTTTTTTATATAATTTTTACATATAATTAAATTAATAAATATATAGAACATTACGAGTTTTATGTAATTATCTTTAGAGGAAAAGACGAAAATGAAGTTCATCTTTCCTCTCTGCCGGCCCCGCTGAATTACAACGTATGTTTTACCAAGAAAAAAAAAAAAAAAGAATTACAACGTATGAACGCAGAAAATTTAACCGTCAAATCTACGACATAAATTTTGTAGTACTTTTTTTTTTTTTGATATGAATTTTTTTTTTGATATGAAATTTTATTTTTATTTTTATTTTTATTTTTATTTTTATTTTTATTTTTATTATTTTTTTTTACTAAAGTCTACTTGTTTGCATATCTTACTATATATATTATTTTTTTCAGTATCTCTCTCTTCAAGCTGCCTGGAAAGTGGTAGTGGTAGACAATTAGCATATTACCAAACAAGTGGAGCATGCACGCGATGCACGCATATTTGAATCCTATTTGATTTTTCCTTCATTCCTCGAAAATTCCACATTTGAATTCACATTGTAGGACTGTTGTAAAGATTTGGTCAATGTTATTTTTACATTTTAAAATGTTAATGTGACTCTCTAAATTACCTTTGATTAGTAGTAATAAATAAACAAGTATATATTGCATAAAAAAATTAACAAGTATTTATTTATTTATTTATAAAAGTGGTGCTATAAGAATAATTTTTTTATATTATTTTTTGATATAATTTTCACATGTCATTAAAATAAATGGATGCATTCAATATCATGAGTCATATATTAATAAATAAAAAGAATCAATTAATTAAATGATACGTCATGTTGTACAAAAAAAGTGATATAAAAAGATTATTTTAAAATCATTTTTCTATTTATAAATAAAAGAATATATAAAAAAGTAGTGAGTATATTTAGTAAGATACCGACACTATACAATTGGACAATAAACATCAACCTAGAATTCCTTTGATAAAAGGGTTTTTAAGAATGTATCTATTATGTATGTTTTTTTCTTATTAATTTATATAAAAAA